TGGCTTCCGACAGACAGTTGAAGTTCGACGTCAGCATTCTCACCCAGCTCCCCCTTTCAACCCCCTCCAGCCTTCAGAAGATTGGCTGCGCTCCTGACATGTATGCTCCACATTCATCTATCACAAACTTTGCAAACAGCAAAGGGTACGGCAGGACTTCTGTCCACGCGCCCGGGCCCTTTGACAATCGCTTCCTCCATCGAGCGGTGCTGGTTTGAGCGAGCCACGCTGCATTACGTGCGCTCGTACACGGATGCAGTAGAACGGGGCCAACATCACGAACGTCCTGCATCCGGTCTGCTCTGCCGAACGTGGGCGATGTGGCGCATGCGCAACTCGATGTCGGCGTGCGTTCGCTGGGTCCCGATTCGCTGGGTCCCGATTCACTGGGTCCCGTGCCTTTCGCTTTTGAAAACGTCCAAAGATATCCACTGTACTCTGCGCCAGCAATGTGAGTGGGCGGTTTATGTCGTTTCACCGCTCAGAAGCGGCTTGCTGTTCCCGCTCTGTCCTCTACGTGCTATCGCTCATCCACAATGGCCCGAAATGGTGAGCAGTGAAAACTCGCAAAACACCATCGATCAAGTCCAATTCCCAACGTGGAGCAAAAGCAGGCCAGCATTTCCAGCCGCCGGTCCGGTCCCAGTTGACTTACACCTTTCTTGTCATCTCCTGGTGCGGAGCATCAGGAGGCGGTCCGGTCCCAGATGACTTACACCTTTCTTGTCATCTCCTGGTGCGGAGCATCAGGAGGCGGTCCGGTCCCAGTTGACTTACACCTTTCTTGTCATCTCCTGGTGCGGAGCATCAGGAGGCGGTCCGGTCCCAGTTGACTTACACCTTTCTTGCCATCTCCTGGTGCGGAGCATCAGGAGGCGGTCCGGTCCCAGTTGACTTACACCTTTCTTGTCATCTCCTGGTGCGGAGCATCAGGAGGCGGTCCCCAGGACGATACGCCGGCAGTTTTTGGAGTGAGACGGATCACGCGGCCTAACGCATAATAACGGGTTGCAGTTTACAATTACCAGTAATGCACAAAAATCCGCTACCAGCCCTTTTCAGATGAAAACAACTCACATTGGTGTGCAATGGTTATCTTCGGGATGATGGCCAATGGCGTACTTTGCCGTGTCCTGAATGTCGACACCTTGCTTTCAAAGTCATCACGCTCGGCGGCAGCTGGCGCGTCGTGCTGGGTCACTTCATCACGTGGCCTGTCCACTGCATGCCCGGTCGGCGCACATGAGACGAAAAGTTTTCGAAAATAATACACAAGGCTGTACGCGCGGGCTTGGCGTATGACTATTTCGCTCAGACCATGACTGTGGCATACATGTGTATGTTTTGTTTTAAGCTGGCACGGGCTAGTAGCCGAATGCGTTTTGCATATGTTGATTATTTTCAACCTACCTTGAGCTTTTGAGCGCAAGGTTAGCTACTGAACTGAATTTTAACTTCAGCATGCTGCTCAGTTTACCTCATCTTATTATGATCAACGCGTATCATCTAACGACCCACTTTTTCCCCATCATCACCACAGCGTCAACGCTGAATATCGACAGAAGTCGCGGGCCGACCTCGACGTCACCGCGCCCCATCGGAGCGCTGCTGCACGCCTCTGCCGCAGGCCGCAGCACCGCGTATCGCCGAGTCAGGGACCCGCCGAGTCAGGGGCCCGCCGAGTCAGGGGCCCGCCGAGCCGGGGACCCGCCGAGTCAGGGGCCCGCCGAGCCGGGGGCCCGCCGAGTCAGGGCCCGCCGAGTCAGGGACCCGCCGAGTCAGGGACCCGCCGAGCCGGGGGCCCGCCGAGTCAGGGGGCCGTCCAGTCAGGGGGCCGTCCAGTCAGGGGCTGCCCGTCCGCCGGTGATCGCTCTCCGCTCGCTGGTCGCCATTTCCGGGGTCTGTGCCGGGCGGCGCTGGTTCCTCTCGGCGGCGCGCCGGCTGAGCCGCGGCGTATCTCGCGGGTCGTTAGCGGTCGCTGCGCCCTCGAGCCCTGGAGTTATCTGACGGTCTGCCGACCAGCTGTAATCGGGCGCATTCAGCACCCCGGACGCCCCCCCCCCCCTCTCCCGGACCCTCTTCTGGGCTCGGCGATGCAGGCAGAATGGTATGGTCGGTCTGCCTCCTCCCCCCAGCCCCCCCTCCCTCACCATCGTCCGCCCCGCCCGCCCCCCACTCTGACCACCCGCGGGGCGCAGAATGGCCGTGATTGCCGCCGCCCCCTGCTTCTCTGCCCTCCACCCCCACTCTTCACGGGTCCGCCAAGTACCGATGGCCATCTGCGGACACTGCCAAACTACATCAATTATTTCTTGTTCTGCGCTTAGCGGCGGCGGCGACCGGCGCATCTATTTGTTGTGCTCGGCCCGCAGCCAGCGGGGCACGCGCGAATCGATTGGCGATCCTAATGGTACCCTCGATTGAGTCGACTTTTGCGTGCTCGGCCTGCGGCGTTCGGACCGTGCGTATCGGCGGCTAGAGTCGTTCGTCGCGTGACGTCAGCAGGACGCCGTCTGGTCGGAGGGGGTCGCAAACTTTGACCGGCGCCGGAGGGAAGCACTTGGGGCCGTGTCATGAGCCCGCCTCAACTCCGAACCTGTCTCAAGTCAAGTCGCTAGTCTGCAACCCACATAACTTTAAGATGACAACAGTTTTTAAGAACATTTGCTGCTCCGAATACTTACACCGGCTTGAAAGTTGCTGTTGACTATCTTGAAATGCGAACCGACTAATTATTGAAACGGATACTGCTGACCGCATTTGGCTCTTGACTTAGAGCGTCATTGGAAACATCGCATTCACTTTGAACACCAAGAGAGTGTCGATGCACAATTGTGGAGACTCACGAACATTCTACGCATGTCTTCATGAAAGTTCTTCCATTGCGCGTGCCTCACAGTAACTTCATCAACAGTAAAACTCTAGGACATATTACCGATAGTTATTGACTCATTCAATTGTGTTACTGGTATAATCATTCTCTCTCATTTATTGCTGTCTTATTTTCGCTTTAGTAGCCACTGCGCTTGTTTTGTGACGCGAATAAGTCTGTGTTATCACTGATGCCCACGGACTCCCGGTATCGAATCAGGCCGCTGCCATGGTCCTCCCGCCAATAACCAAGGTTAGAGGGGAGTGGGAGGGGCGGATGTTAAAGGGCACCGAGTTCCGGATCGTTGATAACGGATTTGAAATTGGGAAAAAAATGGGTAGACCCGTGTAAATCTTTCCAGCATGCATGCATGTTGTTTTCCCGTGGACACAACGCCGATGTTTGCCACACCACCTCTTCATAACTGCTACCGGCGATATTGTACTTATTTCCTCTGTTTGTGTCCTGCGCCAAACTGACCAGATAAAGCGGAAGGATCTCTCTGATAGGCCGCTGGACGCGCGACATTGTCGGAACCTTCTGGTTTAACGGCCCGCACACCGTACTATGGCGATGGCTCTGGAAAGGCCAGGGTGCTGGTGCACGCAAACATTGCTGCGGTGGGTTCTCGAGTTCGCGGTGCTCGCGTGCCGAGTACTCGGGTACTCGCGCACTCGGTACTCGAGTACTCGTGAAGTTGCTTCTGTTCGGTGGACCTTGGGGCCTCTCATAGCAGGTGCTCGTTGCCAGGGACCCAGCGAGGACTGAAGAGGGGCGGGATGAGTAGGGGGGACGCCAAAACGTCTGTGCGTGCAATACATCGGGTTGGCGGGAACCACCATTGCAATCTGGGATACGAGCCAACAGGCTAGACAAGTGCAAGCACACGTTTGAACGTTGAATACTTTGTTTTCAACTATTCCTTGCATGCAACGCCTGAAATGGCATACCGGGCACGCCCACTATATTGCACACCTAGCCAGCTACTGAAATATTAAACCGCCTGAAGGGAAATGAGATATTTACCGTGTGACGCAACAACCTTCAGTTTGAGCGTGCAGCGCAACACCTCGCTGTTTTTTGGACCGGGAAAACCCTTGTGCCTGAGCACTGAGAGGTTCTACCAAAGCACTCGCAAACAACTGAGTACAGCTGTCTTTTCAGGCTCTGTGCCAGTGAACTTTTCTCGGTTACCAGACGCTTGGTCTACTTGCAAAAACACGTGATTTATTATAATCTCTTATCGTTACGAAAAATACTACATCGAAACGTTATGACGGCATGCCATTTATCCTTCCGAGGGTTTCCAGCCCTAGTGGCTGTGGGCCACAGAGGCTTTCTTACAGCCGCTGATGTTGAAGGTGGCGGCGGCGGCTGCAGTTCAGGTCGATGAACTGGATACAGATCATGATTAACTTTTCAAGACTCTGGTCGCCATGACCCGTTTACACGCTAGCACCGGCCCCGGCACGCTTCCTGATGTGGCCAGAGTCTAGCGCGCGCGCAGAGCCTAACACGTATTTTCCGAGCGGAGGGGCTTGAGGGACTGTTTCGCGTGTCCTCCGACCAGAGGGGATTGTTTGCCGCTGCGCCCTGGCTGCTATTCATGCTGTTCGCACCAGGCTTGTAATCGAACTCTTCCCAAGAGATCGCTCGTGCAACACCTCTCCAGTGGGCTTTCGTTGATAGCTGATGACTACTTGGAACAGACAGTTGGACGTTCACGTTGAATCCTGCCCTCTCTCGCAAACTCTGATACGCCTTTACCGAACAGAGTTGAAACTTAGTTGCACTCAAAGGCCCCGAAAGCCCAGAAGCTGTGCGATAAATGACCGCCCTTCCACACTGTTTTTCCCATCCCCTTTCTCTTCTCATTTCCATGCATTGCATGACATAAATCCCTGATGGACTATTAATTTTGTCTGTTCATTATGTTCGAAGATTAATGCGATAACACGTGGCGTCATGATGCTGAACTCGCAGATCTATCGCCGGCAGCTCACAACTCGGAACAGGCTCACGATGTCAGGCCCCGCATTTCAAGCATGGAACGTGCCGTGTAAACTTATATTGGCAAAGTTATGAGAATTGCTTTGGGTGAATGAAAGGCGTAATGGCTGGCAATATCAAGGAAATGACTTTTGCGTTAAAGTGGTTTGTTTTCTATGCCAATGCTAGAGGGTTTACAAATTAATATAAACTCTGATCGTGGCTTGGGATTCGTTGACTGCGTGACGGGACGCTTTGCTAGCTTAGATAACCATATTTGTTTGCACTGTTTATTTGCAAATATATGACAGCTTTACCGTCAGCAATGTTTTAAGAATTGCTCTCCAACGTCTTTCCACTGACAAAATTTTTAAAGCTCATCGGTTAGCACCGGACAATGCAGCTGGTCGATGCCTTGGAAAAGGAAATAAAATTTATGCGAGGTGCCCCTACCTTTAACACATCGGAACATATGCGAAATTAATGTGTTTGCGATGCTCTGGCAAGGCAATATTGAGCCTGTAGTTTTGCGTGTCGACCTGCGAATTTTGCCAAAACGCTTCCGCGGTCAGTGACGTTTTTAACATGACAAAAAGCCCCGAGTTCGTCCTTACTCAGCACGTTTTTTGCTTAGCACGACCCCGAGTTGCAATGGCTTTTTCACGTAGGAAATTGAGCAGAGTTGAGTTTTGAGAAATACGACGCGGCATCTGGGCAGGCACGCACTGCGGAGGGCCACTGGGCGCTGCGGGGGACCACCGGGCGCTGCGGAAGACCACCGGGCACTGCTGAGGGCCACCAGGCGCTGCGGAGAGCCACCGGGCGCTGCGGAGGGCCACCAGGCGCTGCGGAGGACCACCGGGAGCGGACCGAAAACGCTGCTCAATAAGCCCGTTATGGCAGCGCGCAAAACATTGAACTATGTGTTATGAATAAAGCTCACGCAGCACATTCATCCCGGGGCGTGTGCACGTAGTGACCCCAGCGACACGTGGCCTTATTACGACACGTGACCACGTGGATTTATTACGTGCTTTTACACGTGCTGGCAAAATAACTCCGCATCTGGCAAAAGACTGACCAAAAACACAGGATAAAACATGCAAACCACTTTCAGCAAAGCACACAATCAATAAGTGACATCACTTGCTCAGCCTGTTTTGCTAATCCACAAAACGTAGGTGACAAAGACGCAAACACGTCCTTGGCAACTTCCGCATCCAACGATAATGAGAACTAACATTTCGCTCGCCTCCGAATATTACATGGCATTTCACCAGAAGCTTCCGATTCTCATGGACAACGCTTAACGTCCGCCAGGTCGAGTAAGGCGGGGCCAGCTAGTCATGGCAAATGTAAATTACTGGAATCGGCGTGCCGGGTGCGGCTGTCCGCCAGGCTCTCTCGACTTCCGTGCGGCCGATGTCCACGGTGCACAACTAGGTGCGCCACATCGGAGCGCTCCGACTGACCAGTGATGATGACCTGCATACACTTGTCCACGATGGCCTCCAGGAACGGGCGCACGTGCGGGAGGGTCCTCAACACCTTCACCGGCCATAGGATACGCTGGTCGGAGATGCGGCTGTACATGCGGATCTTCTCTGGAGCCATGCAACACGGCTGAGTCATAGCTCAGTCATATTAGCGTCAAACACGTGACCTTTCATTGCCGACAGTATATTTCCCACAGAAGGATATTTCTGACAAAGAGCAAACAAAAACAAGCATAAAAGCACAATATTACAGATAATAATTTTTTACCACTTAGTTACACAAAGCCGTCGAATGATGATATTTTGTAATTTTATTCAAACCATTTTCCATGAATGACTTTCTGGGATTAGTGTCCAAAAGAGCGAAACTTGGTATGCGCCTTGAGCACATCTGATCGTAGGCGTGCGGGTTGGTGCAAATCTTATTTCAGCGCATCAGGTTCAGCAAAAGACTAACCATACTAAAGCTTTCTGCGATCTGGTGCGATGGATTAATTAAGACTGAATTCCCTGGTCCTAGTCTGACTGGCAATATCCATATTGAATTAGCATATCTGATTGTGCAAGCATCCCATAGCCAATGTGTAGCTTTACAAACTTGTTTAGAAAGATTGGAGATGGGAGCAGGACAATATGGTTACTTACTTCAAGATGTTAAAACAAAGTTCGTCCCATATTTCACACAGGATATAGGTAGGAAGTATTTTATGTATAGGTGTTTGTCATCGCTCTCATTCGGCTGTACAGTGGCAGTAATGTTTTCCCTGTCTTCTCAATCTGTGAAAACCCATCAATTGTGCCACTCTCACATCATGCCACGCCCATCTAACATCGACATCTATGTGCCAAATCTGCCCCCATGCTCCGTACTTGGGCCCAGCTAATCGTTCCCAAAGCTCACGTAGCGTGTTTTTCGTATTTTTTTATATTGGTAGTAGAAAAACATATAATGATAAATAGTATAGTATATGAAAAGATAGAATATCAAGAACATATATTTGTATTGATAAAAACTCATATTAACCATTACCCATAAATAACACAAACGTCATTTCGCGAACGTCGAAACATCATTTCTGAAATAGGGGACAACCATAAGCCTAACTCCTGGCGTTATATGCTAGAAATTAGTCAGATTCATTATATGCATCATTTTTACCATGGTGTTACAATTGTCATCAGGTTGTGCATGCTCCCAAAGTCTGGCTATCGCATGTCAATGACTTTTAATCACTAGCCTGCAAAGGCTTATGGAATACAGAGCTCACCACAAAAGATAAAACCGCATCAGCAAACTTGGGTCATCACGACATGCGCATACTTTTCAATAACTTTGGCTTATTTTTAAGGCATTTTTGCCGGACATTGCGAAAGTAACATAATCATTGCTCAAACTGGGGCTAAAACTGAAAGCGACAGCTCATCAAACTCAAAATTGCATGCGATGTTGAGACGTGCATACCCTGAATTTGTTGCTGCGATGTCGGTGATACGCCAGACAAATTCGGCGTGAAAATGTTTTTAACAGTGTGGCATCGAGGTACTTACACGAATACAGCCAAATAATTTTCTCTCATCCGGTGAGCACCGCGTACACAACGCTTTCTGTTCGGCATCCCGTACCAATGCAAAATAGGATACGGCCTAGGAAGAGGGAAGAACGTCCCGTTGACGACAAGTGTCGCACAACCCGAAATGGCTCACGTTTACGTTCGCGAAACGTACACGGCAGCAAAATTTTACAAACAGAACATCTCTTTTTCGCGGGTTGTATCATATGTGCAGCATTTGTGCAGCCTTTATCATATGTGCAGCCTTTGCGAACACATCAGCGAACATGCTGTTTTTGACCATAAACGGAAAACAGCCTGTAATATGACGGCGATCGTATGACGTTTCTTTGACGTCATTAATGCCATGGTGACATTGAAGTGATTCCCCAATGAACCTTTTCGCACTTTCGCCGGCATGTAACTCAGGAATCAGGGGGTTTTGGATCTTAGAAAGGACGTGGCTGTGAACTGTATCAAAGGTCCTCAATATGGCAATTTTAGTTCAGAACCCCATATAAATGTGGAACACTCCCTTCAGTTGGATTTTCGCTGGATTCTTTAGTTGCGTCCCACCATTAGGCTTTCTTGCATGCACCTCGGTATTCATCGCAGTGAGTTTGCACAGCCTTGATGGGTTAAAGCAGCACAAGATATGTTCAAAAATGCGTGAGATGAAAAATTATACCAACTGTAATTTTGGCCGTGCACATTAAACCTGATCACAGCACAGAATGGCAAACAGATTTCATGGATGGCTATTATAGGAAAACATTACTCTCATATGAGGTGCGTGCTGAAAGTGCTAAAACATTGCATCACTTTACATGGTCATCATCATTTAATCATTATTTCAAAAATGAGTTCTACCGGTGCCTGTATCTGTCCACAGTGGTGGAATAGCCGCCTCTTCGCTACGAACAGCTCCTCATTGCTAGTGCCATTTCTGAACGACTTCTCAACACTCCGCAATCCCTTGATCATCTCTCTAAGACGACCTGATAGCCGCAGCCGCGGCTGGATGTGGCCGCGGTTTCCTCCCTTCGCCAGGACTTTGGACATCCAACGCGCCTCATGATGACGTCACCCGCCCCAGGATGACGTCACGCGCCCCGGGATGACGTTAGCGTGGGGGCAGTCGTTCAGATTCCGGACAGACTGTAGTGCTGCGCTCCACTTCAGCCCAGCAACCCGAGCGACGCTCCGGGCATCGATCCGTCGCCGGTGCGGTGGAGGTGGCGGCCGCCGGAGCCAGGGCGGCGGAGGTGGCAGGCGCCGAAGCCAGGGCGGCGGAGGTGGCGGGCGCCGGAGCCAGGGCGGCGAGGTGGCGCCGGAGCCAGGGCGGCGGAGGGTGGCAGGCGCCGGAGCCAGGGCGGCGGAGGTGGCGGCGCCGGAGCCAGGGCTGGCGGAGGTGGCGGGGCGTCGGAGCCAGGGCGGCGGAGGTGGCGGGCGCCGGAGCAGGGCGGCGGAGGTGGCGGGCGCCGGAGCCAGGGCGGCGGAGGTGGCGGGCGCCGGAGCCAGGGCGGCGGATGTGGCGGGCGCCGGAGCCAGGGCGGCGGAGGGTGCAGGTGCCGGTGCTGTCCCGGCGATCGGCGCGCCAGAATCGTCCACCCGCCGTAGGTCATCAGCCGTAGGTCATTAGCCGCGCGCCCGTGACGTCTTAACTTTTGAAAGGACGCGCCGTGCACCATGCCGGTGTGGGTTCTACAAGGTCGGCAGTCTGCGAGATGGCGGGGAGTGTTATTATTCATCGCGGTTCTTCAGCTGATGCCAGCTGTTGCGCGAACCGTCTCATCTCAAACGTTAAGTGAACAGTCAGCCCGTTGGCAGCGGCGCGTTCAGGGGAAGGGAGAGGGGCAATGGGATTATGGCAAGTCAGAAGCTGCCTTTCGATTGATGCTGGGTCCGCCCTTGGATCTTGGGCAGTGGCTATCCAAACACCCATCCTCTTCTCATTCGGAAACGAGCTTGGATTTTAGCTCCAAACTTCTGTGGCGATGCGGTGGAAATTTCCAAAAATGAGCCGGAAAGCGATGGGCATAGCTTAATCAAAAGCCCAAAAGTTAAATGTCCCTGACGCTCGCTTTAGTTTGACAGAAAAGCGATAAGATGGCCTTCACCGTGCCGCCTAAAAATGGCATTGGCTGCGTCCTCATGCCAATTTGGAGACAGGAAAACATACCGGTGAAGTTGCACAAGTTGCCCGATGCCTCTCATGCTGTGCGTCTGTGTATTGTTAAGTCAAGGCCACACTGGACCATGGTGATAATAGCTGATGATATGAGCTCTAACGACCTCACGTATCCGACCTCACTTCAACTGGGAGCAAATAATGGCATACTCCAAGCAATAATATACTGGTGTACGGAAGGACTAAGACGGGGAATTACGAGGTATTACGGGTGGAGTATCTGCTTGGACTTTCGTCCTCACATGTGGTAATATGTGCACGAACACGCTCGACGGGGGCGATAGAAAGTGCAATTGTTTTATGATTTATACGGCTGTGTTCCATGTAAAGCTCGGTACATGTTACGAAAATCGAAAGTGATCTCGTTTAATACAGGCTGACAACTGAGGATGACTCCGAGGACGTACTGGCTCGTGCCTTTCCCTTGGCGCGCCAGATTCGTAATCGGCTGGAAGGCGTATCAGCTCTGGGATGGATGTGGGAGCGATGCCAACTGCCTACGGTTCGGACATGACAGCACCGAAGCTGACTCACGGCTTTGTCCGCAGATGGAGATGCTGGTCCGGCAGATGCAGAGTCCCGAGTCCGGGGTTCCGGTCAGGTGCCAGAAACTCTTCTTGACCACCATTCCGTCCGCCTTCATGGGTGAGTACAGCCAGCCTCCCCATCGAGAGGTGGACTTCCGTCTGATCGTTTTTCCGGCGGAATCTGAACTCGTGGTAAGTATGAGGCTTCTCCTACTCGTACTAAGTGCTCCTAGCTTGCCAGGTTTTACATTGCAAAAGTGAGCGGGTGGTTGAAGTCTTAGATGCTCGCTCGAGAGGCGTGGGCTCGATTCTCGCAGCAAGAAAATTGTCAAGGCCCAAAGGCATGGTTTCTCTTGTACTCTTACCAGTTGCATACCACCATCGATACACTGCAAAACTTTTTCATCGGCTCATCAGCCCATAGAGACGGACGACGAGACAGAAAAGACAGAAGTACACAGCCCTGAGCGTTACTTTGGACTGGGTCTTCCTTCGTGTGTCTGTCGTCTTCTTGGGTCTTCATCCGTGGATGGATCGTATGCTGAACACCCCACCATTTCTTCCTGCTCAGTCTAATAATGCATGAGCATTTCCATCCATAGCTCTAGTGGAGGAGAGTAAGAAGCCTTCATCGACTAGGTAACGCCCTTGGCCTAAGATGCCGTCGGCGTGCAGCCCTCATCCAGTCAGTTGAAAGGATGATCTTTGAAATTATTTTATTTGAAAAGCCAGCCGCATCAGGCCGTGTTGTGATCCTAAAAAAGTCGGGTCACAGTGGAAGTGCAAGCAACGTTTCCTTCGTAAACCACAATAAAAGGCGGCTGGTTTGAGCTGGGACAAAGCTATGATG